TTAATTACATCTGGAGGCTGAAGTGAAATTTGAGATGCATTAAAACATGAACTCCTATAGGCCACTGAGTAACCTCTGTATGCAAGAAGCAGTTGATTGGGGTATGTTTAGCTATGTAAATTTAAAGCCCATTCAAAAATCAACTATAAGAGTGGAGAGGTTGCATACACTGAATAAGTGATACTGGTACTTTCAATAAAATTTAGTTAAAATAAAAACATATATTAACTATTTTCACAAAATGTAAAAACTGAAGATTCTCTGTAAAAATGCAAATTCCATGTTTTCCCGTGGCAAAAAGATTAAACAAGGATCCCTGCATAGTCTCATGTTTAAGATGTGGAAAACATCTATTAGGATAAGACCGTTTGGTTCATTTTGGTTGTGACTTAACCAAAATATAAATCTGAGTTTTTCTTAAAGCAAAAAGATAGTGGACTAAACTACTACACTGTCTAGTTTCCGTTATCTTCAGTGTTTCTGTAACATTTGCTGTTGAAGCAAGACACTAGTTCTAGTATTTTGTAAGTAAGTTTTCGATTACAATGCTATGGAATTTTTAGGTTTTCTTTTTTTGTGCTCATCAGTTATACGTATGAAGAAGTAAGCATCAACTGCATGGATAAGAAACTTATCCCATGATGGGTGGAGCTGGCAGCAAGTAGTGTTGTGAGTGGTGTTTGCTACTGAAGCTCATTTCTTGTTTTTTTCTGTTGTGGGACACTCAGGTTTCTCCAGACAGGTGCATATTGGAGACAGCATGAAGTGATATTTCTTCTATTTCTTCTTTTCTGGGTAAAAGACTTACATCTTTTTAATTTCCTCCTTATTAGAAATGAACATGAGGGAATCCCAGCAAACCTGATTCAGCATCTGGATGTTTGTGTGGAAATTCCTCAGCAGGGTATCATTCGATCACTGAATGTTCATGTAAGTGGAGCTCTGCTGATTTGGGAGTATACAAGGCAACAACTAATCAAGCAAAAACAACTGAAATAACTGCAGGAGTCTTGTGCCTTATTTGTAATGCAGCTGGATGGCTTTTTATGGTGCTGTAAAATATGTTTTTAAACACATGGAATAATTACAGACTCAGGGTGAATGACGATGTTTTTAAATTTTGCATGTCATACAATGGTGGTGTGTAGTACAAAAATTGTTTTTAAATTCCTTAACGTATTATCTGATTATATACAATTGTTTTATTGGTAATAAATAGTCATGTTTGTATTGCTTACATATGTATAGTTCTCTTATTGCAGTGGAAGCAACCAGAGTTAATAGACTCTTCTCCCCTTGAACACACAATTCAGTGACATTTAACTGTTTCATACAGTGTACTTCAAAATGTAGGGTTTTTACAATAGCAGTTGTTCGGATCACAACAGCTGTAGTTGAGGTTAAAATGGTTTTAATTTGATCGCCCATACTCACACCTAACACCCTTGTGTAGTCTGTGGTAAGATGCTTTGTTTTCTGCAGCATCTAGGTACAGCAGACCTGAAATTCTGCAGCTGTCTTAGGTGAATTTAAAAACTGACATTAAGTATGAAATATCTATTATTATTCCTTCATGATGGTCATTTTCATATTAAATTCAGTTTTTTACACTCCCCCTAAATTTTCAACATACTGCAGATTTTGAATTGATAACATTTTTAGAAGTGAAGCTGGAAGTTTTGGCAGAGGACCAGTTAGGGTCTTTTACATCAGGAAATGAGGAGGTGGTTTAGGAGTATGGGATAAATCATGTCTATAAATGTTAGTGAACCCATTTTTAAAACCCAGGTTTTAAACACCTAAACAATGTTTGCTGATCCCAGTAAACTCTATGCTTGGTAATTTATTAGGGTGAATTGTTCAGTGTAGGGCCCTGTCCTAATACACAACACTTTCTTAAGCCTTTTTCACTGACAATTTGGAAAATTCCATTTTTAAAGCAGCTGCTATTTTGCCTAAGGACTACCTCACGTAAAACAAACCTTTACTAAAGCAAATCCATTGTGAATAATACAGGAGTTGGTTATATCATTGCCACCAAATTATACAAACAAGGACATAAGAAATCATACCTGTAGCATTGTATTTTTCAAATATTTTGGTGACATACTTAATGACTGAGAAACTGTTCATCTACATTAGTGGCATAAGAATCTCAACTATAATTGTGCGGATATTTATAAAAATACATAAATGAAAACCAGCTACATAAGAAATGAGATACAGTGGTTATTTATACCTCTTGATCTTTATCTAAAACATGGCCATACAGTAGGACAGCAGAAATTAATTGATTCACAAAATTTTCAAAGAAATAGCATAGAGTGTACCTGCTCACTTACACTGACACATTATCTTCATAGAGAAGGGGGGAAGATGCAGGAGCTTTTTAGAAAAGTTAGTTCACGTGCATTGAAAAACTTGTCAAGTTTGAAAACAGTTTAATATTCTCCCAAAAATATAAATGTATAGTTCAGTGCATTAATTTCTGGGAAACACTGCTTTTCATCCTAGTTACACAATAAAAAAATTCAGGTATAGGAAAAATTATATACCATATTTCTTTGATATACACTCTTACAGACAGTCAGTCTTTTTCATTTAATTACTGTTCTCGCACAAAAGTGAGACATTGCAACAAGGAAAGCAGCATGAATTTCTAGAGATACAGTGTAAGTTACCAGTTACTTTTAACTCAAGGAGTTCTCCTTGCATTTCAGTACTTCTCTTCCATAAGATTATTCTTTCATTGATTGTGTTTCATAAATTGATGCGTAGCTATGACTTTTCAGTAGTCCCAGGAAATTCTCCTGCTTGAAGCTGTTCTTTGTATTTTAAAAAGTCTCTTCTTTTGTCAAAGTATTTTACCTGTTTTAAAAAGAGATCACTTTATGTTCATCAAAGCAAACTGGTGTAGTATGGGACTCCAACATGAAAAGTTCTTATTCACACATCATCTAACGGGATTACGGAAAGAACAGTCTTCGATCACATACACACTTGACCAGATTGATACTGAAGTTGTGTATGTTAATGGTTTAGAATGTGAACTCCGTCACTGGAGCAGAAAAAATGGGATGTAGCACATTGTAATATTGGTCTCAAAGTGCCATGCAATTGCAAGCCCTGCCACTATTACATGAGCGTTCTCCCCTTGAGATCTGTGTTTTCACTTCTGCGATATTATCCATTAATTTCCCTGTTTCTGGGAGTTGACAGGACGTTTCCCAAATACCTTTCCAGTGGTATAGCAACATAACTTAGATAGAGTGAAATCTACTTCACCAATTATCTGGCTAGGTAGTCTTCTGGATTTAATACTCATTGTTTTGTTTTTTCAGTGTACTACTCCATGAAACAAATACCCAATCTTTAAGAGGATCTACAGCAGTAACGCGTTGCTCGCTGTGCAGCAGAAGTTAACTATTTGTAGAGCATTGCTTACATTTGTGTTTATGCCAGTGTACAAATATTCTGGATAGTTACATAACTGGAAAAATTAAAGGGAAGCAGTGTCAAACGAAAAAACAAAATATTACTGTAAGGTATTAAGGCATTATGAATAATGTAGATTGTGGCATTACTTGAGAATGCTTATATGAATTAATTTGCAGAAGAAATTCATTTTTGATACAACACAACTGTCAGGTTGCATCTTATGACTGGTGAAAAAACTACTAGCACTCACCCATTGTTGTGGACACCTAGATTCAAAAGAACATCTAAGCTTCTGACACCTAGATGCATCTTCCATATTTTCATCTAAGCATTTCCAGTATTCATCCCTGGCTCCCCAGCAAGCCTTCCTTTCCTCCATTGATGGTGCTGACATTTTTATTACTGGCAAAATAAAATAAAATTGTAAATGTCTTGTCCCTGATAAACACTTTGATCTGCCTATTGCCTCAAGTTTATTCACACACAAATGTTGCACTGGTTAGTGAAAAAGGTCCAAGAACTGGCAAGATGTGAGACTTCATTTGTAATGGCTTCAATAACCCTGAGTGTGCCACTTGATTTTGTCCCACAGTTAACTGGAGAGCTAAATAAAATGAATCATATTGCTGATATGCAGATGCTGTACGTCTGAGAAGCTTAACCATACAAGAAGTTATAGCCACCAAAATTTAATTTTAGAAAGAGGGCAGGTGCTTCACATCAGCCGGCTTCTACTTACAGGAACCAGAAAGGGTCTGCACTTTAACTGAATACCAGCGCAAATTACAAATCAGGGCATATGCTCCCTTTTAAATAGCAATAGGAAACACCAAACCACACTTTAAATCAGTCTAGTGACATGACAAACTGCATTAATCCTCTCCCCCCCCCCCCACCCCCCCTTTCCTGGCCCCTGGTACATGTTACAGTTTAATAACAGGAATCTGAAGTTATTTCCCCAGGCCCCAAACTGACAGACACTCTGATCGGGGGGTGAAAAGGAGGCGCCTGCACAGCGAAACCACCACTCCCGTGAGAGAGCGGCTGAAGTCAGCCCACCCCTCTGGGGGAGCAGTAGGGAAACCGGGGCTCGGAGCGTCTCCCTGGCCCCACGAGGCGGATTAACCCCCCGGCACACAGAACCCCCCCCGCGTTGCGACAGGAGAACTCAGAGAGGGGCCGGCCACGGCCCCGCCGCGCGCACGGGTTCGGGGCAAGCCCCGCGCCCGGCCCCGTCTCCTCCGGCAGAGCCGGAAGGGGGGATTCTGGCGTCTGTCCCCCGGCACCTGACTCACTCACCCGCCCCCGCCGCGTCCCTCCAGCGTCCGCCCAGCTGAGGCCGTGACCCCGACCCGGACCGGATACAGATCCAGAGAGCCGGAAGTGACGGTAGCAAAGACAACACCTGGAGGGGACCGAGATGGCGCGTGCGCAAGGCTGGGGGGGGGCGGGGCTGCCGTTTCCGCGTTGCTTGGAGACACGCCCGGGCCTAGTAGCGTCACCTCTTCCTGTCACTCTCGCTCCCGGCTGCAGCGTTGGGCAGGGGGCGCTGAGGTCCCGCGGGGGCTGCTGGGGCCCGGGGCGGGGTGGGAGCGGACCCGTCTGGCCCAGGCACAGATATCCTGGTTCTTAGGCGAAGGGGCGGGGGCGGAGCCGGAGCCAGGTTGGCGCTGCGGGCTCCCCAGCCGTCAGGCCGGGCGCTGGGGTCCGGCAAAGCCCCGCTCGCTGGTGCACAGCCGAGTCCTGGCCTCGGGCTGCAGCCCCGGGGGGAGGTTGCACCTGGCTGGGCTGAAGTGTGAATCCTGAACGTGGCTTTTTGTTGCTCCCGATCGACTCCTCTCAGGCTGCTCGGCTGGCACCATTGACACACGGCGCAACACCCGGCCCTGCCAGTGCTGAGCCCGGCGCGTGTCGCCGCTTCCTGGGCCGAGGCTGGTCTTTGGTCTCTCCCAGTCAACGCTGCTGGGGCGCGGGATTCAGGAGGCAGCCAAGCACGGGCATGTGGAGGAGACGTGATAGGAGCACAGGTACTAGTATGTAGGTTTACTGTCGCAACCCGGTTACCTCTCAGGACATACTGACGAGCTGTAGAGAGCTAGAATGACACACCTGCGACCAGTGTCCAAACGAGGGGTGTTCCCCTCTGTTCTGAAGTGTGGAGGCAGATGGATAACTAGGGCCCTACCAAATTCACAGTCCATTTTGGTAAATGTCATGGTCATGGTATTTTAAAAATCTTGAATTTCACGGTTTTGGATATTTAAATCTTAAATTTCATGGTGGTGTAACTGTACGGGTCCGGACCCAAAAGAGGGCCATAGGGGAGGGTCGAAAGGCTATTATAGGAGGGTCATGGTATTGCTGCCCTTACTTCTGCACTCCCTTCAGAGCTGGGTGGCCGGAGGGTGGCAGCTGCTGGCCAGGAACTCAGCTGTGAAGGCAGTGCTGACACCAGCAGCAGTGGAGAAGTGAGGATGGCAATACCGTACCATGCCATCCTTACTTCTGTGCAGCTGCCGGCAGAGGCACTGCCTTTAAAGCTTGGGCGGTCAGAGAGCTGCAGCTGCTGGCCAGGTGCCCACCTCTGAAGCCAGCACTGCCACCAACATTAGTGAAGAAGTAAGGGTGGCAGTACCATACCATGTCACCCTTCTGCACTGCTGCAGGCAACAGCGCAGGCTTCTGGGATAGGTGCCCAGCAGCCACTGCTCTCCGGCAGCCCAGCTCTTCAAGCAGCATGGAAGTAAGGGTGGCAATACCATGACCCCCCTACAATAGCCAGATCTCACAGGGGAGACCAGCTTTCATGGTTTGTGACATGTTTTTCATGGCCATGAATTTGGCAGTGCCCTACCAATAAATGTGGCTGTTTGTAGGGGCTAGGAACCACCCCTTCCTGGACTTTTCTACCACCACACATACATGGGCAGTGGACCAAGAGCCTCTGCTTCTGACAGAGCTTTGGGGAGTTTTTCTAAGTCCCCTACCACCACCACCTTCCCCTTCCGAAAAGGAAAAGACATTTTTACTTATTGAAAGCAAAATATAGTAACTCCTTGCTTAACATTGTAGTTACATTCTTGAAAAATACGACTTTGAGCAAAACAATGTTAAGTGAATCCAGTTTCCCTAAAGAATTAATGTAAATGGGGGGTTAGGTTCCGGGGAAAATTCTTCTGCCAGACAGAAGACATTATATACATATACTGCATAAGTTTTAAACAAACAATTTAATACTGTACTCAGCAATGATGATTGTGAAGCTTAGTTGAGGTGGTGGAGTCAGAGGGTGAAAGAGGGTGGATCATCCAGCTGCTCCTCTTGCTGTTCTTTCCAAAGTGCCTGAGGTTGGGGGGGTTCTTAACCCCTGGCTCTGCCAAGGCCTGCCCCGCACTTCACCCCTTCCCCCAAGGCCCCACCCCCACCCTGCTTCTTCCTGCCTGCACTCCACCCCCACCCCATCTCTTTCCACCCAAGTGCGGTGCCTCCTTGCTCCTACCCCTTCCCCTCCCAGACCATCCTGAACGTCGCGAAACAGCTGATTGCTGTGGGTGGGAGGTGTGGGGAGGGAGGGGTGAGTTGCTGATCTGTGAGGCTGCTGGTGGGCTGGAGGCGCTGGGTGGGTGGAGGGGAGCTGATAGGGGTGCTGCTGGCCTATCCTGGTTTCAAGCCCCCATAGCCAAACAACGTTATAAGCAAACATTGCACAACTTTAAATGAGTATGTTCTCTAATAGATCAACAATGAAACAACGTTAACCGGGACAACATTAAGTGAGGAGTTACTGTACCCAATATTCCTGGGCTCCTTCTGACCAGGGGGTTTCTTGGAGCTCGCCCTTCCTGAACCTGTTCATCTCCCATGCAGAAGTGGGGATTATTGCTTGGACAGACCTGTCCCCCGGCCCCAACTCAGGCCATGTCTGACGGGGACAAGAAAAAACAACCCAAATATCTCCCCTGCTCCTCCCCACTCCACCTGGGGCCACATGGCACAGCCGCTGTTCCTCAGTCACAGTGAAAGATGACCCAGAGGTAAAGAGGAGGATTAGGTCCCTCAACTGCCCTTTCCACACTCGGGCTGGTGGTGGCTGCAGTCATAGAGCCTCAGGCTGCAACAGTGGTGCCCATCCTCTAACTTCTGCCCAACATGCTCAGTTCCACTGGTCTCAAGGGCTGTGGTTTAAGTGACAAAAAATGGCCGCTGACTGCAGACAGCAGACTCCTAGAAGGTGTAGCACATAGTAAGCAATATCATAATTATGTAGAAACATACACTGTAGAATATATGAATTCTGATGTATATGCTTACACATTAGTACTGCTTTGTATGGTGCTCAAAAACCTGGTCACAACTATGATCTATATGTTCTAGCAGGTTTTAAGTTGTTTCAGTCTGTGACAGTCAGTTTTAATTCTTTGTGCTTCTGTTTGTAATACTTGTGACGCTGTATGGTATGGAATATGTGGGACACTTTATGATATTGTTGATAACAATATTATAAAAGCGTGATGAATCGTTCCAGGTATGCCGAGTGAGGTATCTGTGAAAATGTTATAATTTGCCGAGCATGATAATCTTGTTTATATGTTTGTATCACCTTGTATTATAAGCTATAGATATGTATGGTATATCTATGTTTCCAAACTTGTGCTATGTTTCTCGGTGACATCCTAGACCGATTGGCATCAGCAGTAAGCCTGCTTGATGGCCCATCAAGGGTCGTCAGCGGTACAATGAACCCATTGAAAGGAGCCAGGGAATACACCTTATGAGTCAGCATGACTTGTAGGGGCATGGCTATGGACCGAAAACTCAAAGCCTTTTCCATGCCCATGTGTTGTAAAGTTTGTGTTTGGGACACAGGAAGTACAAGCCACATGGCAAGAGAAATGTAAAGGGCAGCTGCATCATCTCCATTTTGTATTTGATCCTGTATCTTACTTCTGGAGTAACTTTTCTACAAACTGAAGCTCTGAACAAAGGACTGAATGACCCATCCAAGCAGTGGACGTGTTCCAGAGGGACTTTCAAGTCAGCAGACTCACCAGTATTGCTAAGAACCTGATAGGTGGACTTTGAAGTCTATGTTGTATCTGAGTGCTTTACTATTTAACAATTATCTTCTTGTTCTTTCTTTTTTTCTTTATAATAAACCTTTAGTTTTACATACTAAAGGATTGGCTGGCAGCGTGATATTTTGGGTAAGATCCAACCTATATTGACCTGGCAATGTGGCTGGCCCTTTCAGGTGCAGAAGAACATTTTGTATAGTGAGCAGAGTGTTTTAAATCACTTCTCACTGTACTGGACCTGCATGCTGATTAGGAGCAAGAAAACTGGAATGCAGTAAAAGGGGGCTGTGTGATTTTTTTTTAAACTTCTTGATAACCAGTGTGAGAGATCAAAAGTACAGTCTGTGGCTGGTAGGTGAGTTTAACTTTAGTGTTAACCACCAGTTTTGTGAGTATTTGCTCTCCCTTTTGCAGCCTGCCCTGACCTTTGCATGTTCAGTGAGGGCTCCGTCAGGCATCCCAGGTCACACTCAGTAGTTGTTGCATATCAGTATAGAACTTCATTTTGCCAACTTTTTTCCCACTTGTATTTTCAGTGGAGTAAAAATTTACATAGCTCCTTAAATTTCCTTCCTTTACATATGCACCAATATCATTGATTTTTCTCATCTACAGGGAATCAGTGAATTTTTAAAGGGAGAATATTGAAAACCTGGAGGATATTAAGTTAAAAAACGGTTAAAGTAGGTCACAGGATGTCATTTTCATTTAAATGTTTCTATGTGATATTGGAGGGTTGTTTTGTTTTTGTTGTTGCACAAGATGAATACAGAACATTTTATGTTCCTGTTCGTCTGTGTTTCTGTTGTCTTCATCTAGTCTGCAAAATGTATCCGGAGTGAAGAACAGGAGAAGGAAGTCCCTGTCTGTGTGGGGGTTTGAATGCTTATAGCAGTTGGGAAGGGAGTTTGATTGACAGCTCTGGAGACCTGTGCTTATAAATAGGACTGGTAGGGCACTGCCAGGGGCAGCGAGCTTCCACCATGAGGCCCTGCCACTATAACTTAACCCTGAGCTGAAAGGAACCATCTCCGAATGTAGCAGAATAGTTTGGGTTCCTACTTTGCTATGACTGTTCACTACAGTGCCAATTAATAACAACTGGGGAAGTGGTTTTTGTGTGCTGGTGCCTATGTGAATTGTGAATTGCAGCTTGACTGAGCCCACCAGCTCGTTTCACATAGACCTCCCCAGCAGCCTTCAAATAATTACCACAAATATCTTTTGTCATTACTGATATCTGGGTGGGTTTAAACCAGTGACCGGTGCAAAACAAGAATGAATAAACAGTATTTTTTTAGTATGATGAGAACTTACCCTTAGCACCTTTATAGGGTAATACATCTAGTTTAAGATCTGGTTATTGGGGTGACTGGTCAGCTCAGCTTGAAAACACAATCACAGTGGAAATACTAGAGAGAAATACAGAATAGTAAATCCTATTTAATGGTTTTATTTCTGGCTTGGGAATAAGCTAGCAGAGTTCCATGTTTGTACCCAGAAGAATCATGGCTTTCATTTTATAGACCAGAAGCCTATAAACTCTAAACATTTTTGCTGTTTACTGGTGGCAGCCTAAAAAGCAGTGGAGTTTGTTTCCATGGGAACCCACAGAGCTGCAATTTTGAACAGTCTGGAATTTTGACAGCAAGAGACAGGTTTGTAAGAGGGGCCTGATCCTGCGAGATACTGAGCACTTGCAGCTCCGAATGATGTGAGTGGGAGCTGGTCGGTGTCTAGCACTCCTCAGCACCACACCTTAAAAGCAGAGTCTAAGATTTACAAGTACAGCATTACATTTCTGCACTGGGGACACTTGATGCTAGAGTCACAAAAGGACTTAGGTGCCTAACTACCACTTTAGGCACCTAAATCCCAGAATCAGGCCCCACAGGGATTCACAAAACGCTTGCTCGGCTGCCACCAAATGCTATAGGAACCTAAACTCACTTTACACCTATGGTTTTGCAGTTAAAGTTCCCTAGGCATCTACGTTTCTGTCTCTGAGCATGCTCATTGCTGCCCAATACCAGGCATCTGGATGCATAAACCCCAGAGCGATGCACGAACCATGAGAAGATAGGCATTCTTCTGCCTAACTCAGCTGTAGGACTTGATCTGATAAGCATGCTCTGAGTTTGAGCCCTACAGGTGAGTTTACACAAAATGCCAAGGACAGGGAGGAGGTCGTGCCTCATAAGCTTTAGCCCAGCAGTTAGGGTACTCATTAGGGTATCCCTAATTCTCATCCCCTTTCCCCCTGAGGAGAAGGGATTTAAACAGAGGTCTGCTACCTCACAGGTGAGTACTCTAATATTACACTTGGCTACAGGGGAGTCTGATGTGGGCCTTTCTCAGTTTCTCCTGTTGAATCATAGAAATGTAGGGCTGGGAGGTACCCTGAAAGGTCATCAAGTCCAGCCCCCAGGCTGAGGCAGGACCACCTAAACCTAGATCATCCCTAGCAGGTGTTTCTCCAACCTGTTCTTACAAACCTCGAATGATGGGGATTCCATACTCTCCCTTGGAAGCCTATTCCAGAACTTAACTGAACGAATCTGAAACTTAACATCACCTTCTTTCCTGTTTGCATAAACTTTGCTTTGAGGGGTAATCCTGTAGCCAGACAGACAGCCCCCCCTCTCAGACCAGCATTGCTGGAAACACAAGGGAGCCAAAACAACAGGGCACTTAACATCAATTCCAGCACAGCCTTTGAAGCTGTGAGAAGCACAGGTGTGCTGCTCCAATGTGCCTCTGGGAACATATACAACGATTAGGCTCCCAGCAGACAGAGAAGCTGTGACAGACGTGGCTCTTAGCCCCTACTAAATAGCGTGATGCACACACCCCAACCTCCTAGGTGGGAAAATATTTACCCTAATAAAAGGAATGTCCAGTAGTCGACACTTATTGTTTCTCTCCCTTGCAAGTGTAAACTACTCTTGCGAGAGCTGGCGTTGCCCAGACAGACCAGCCCCAATTTGGCATAAGAAAGGAGAAAGAGAATAAAGGAGTACAGAGGTATAAGTACGGGACCTACAGCACCATGATTTTTGAGTGCTTTTCACTATCTATCTGCTGGTCAGATAAGTGACAGCCTCCCAAGGCTTCTGCAGCTAAGAGGGTCCCTAAGCCTTGCCCCTTATTTGTCTTTCCGTGGAATTGAGTGACCGATCCTGGCTTGGCACTGCTGGAATCGAGAGATGCAAGGAGGGTAAGAAGCACCCACACCTGATCTCCTATCTTTTGTGTACACATATTTTGAAATAGAGCTCTATGCTTTGTTTTCTTTCTTTGGGATTGTGGCTTCAGTTTTGTAACTTGTTTGTGTGTGTAACATCTCTACATTTAAATAAGTAGGCACTAGCAATTTTGTAACCACATGATTAGAATCTAGTTTAATAAATTTTGGTAACCATTTGTGCATAAGCCTGACTTGTTTCTCTGGTTTACTGTAAAGCAGCCAACATAATTAAAGAACCTCAGCCGTTTTGGCTATAAAGCCTGGCCATTAGGTGAGAGTACTAAGAGCCTAGCGTTGAGTTGTGCCGCCTCCACGGGGCAAACTCTTGGGGCCCCTGTCAGTCAATCCTGACTGCCCACTGCGAAGGAGCTCTGAGTTCTAGCAGTTAAAGTCACGGGTGTGGAGAGGCTCTTAGTGCTGCCATTGGGGCACCTGTCAGTCAGTGTTGACTGCCCACTGCGAAGGAGCTCTGAGCTCTAGCGGTTAAAGTCACGGGTGTTTAGGACCTTGGAGCATCCGTCAGCCTAGCCCGGGCTGCCCGCCGCGAAGGGGCAGTGCGTGCTAGCGGTTAAAGTCACGGATGGTATAAAACGGGCATAGCTGGCACCTCACCAAACATCCTTGGCCATCGGCTAACAAATCCTCAGAAGAATCCACTTCAAAGGGGGACTGTACTATAAAAGTGAGGGGAAAAAACACTCCATATATTCTCTCTTTCTATCACTCTCGCTCGCTCTTTCACCTAAGAAGACAAAGGATCCAGCCCTTTGGACTGTGAGGGCAGCACCTGACTTGAGAATTTGGTGAGCTGGAACATGTGGTAAGGGATTTTACCCTGAACCAGTCTAGTTTGTTTAGTTACTAGAAAGCATTTTATCTTTATTTCTTTTGTAACTATTTCTGACTTTAATACCTTATACTTGTACTCACTCAAAATCTATCTCTTTGTAGTTAAATAAATTTGTTTAATTCTTTAATCAAAACTAATCTAGTGCTGTGTTTAAACAGAATTATTTGGTAACACCAGTTAAAGTAGCGAACTGCTGTACATTGATCCCTTACAGGGGCAACAGACCGCTAACATCTGAACTGTCCAGGAGAGGGCTGGACACTGCAGAACACACATTTTGGGGGAAAATCCGGGACTGGGAGTATGTGGTAATCAAGGCTGGTGTGTTGCCGACAGTCTGTTAGAGTCAGAATTGCTGTACCAGGATTGCAGCTATACACAGACACTCAGTGTGCGACCTGCATGCTGTTTGTGTGTGGCTAAGACTGGGGTTTATATCAGCAAGGCATTGTGAGGCATCCAAGGTTGCGGGGCAGATGATGATACCACCTCTCGCTAGTCTGTATTGCACCCCATCTGGGAGGTGAGAGAGCCAGGATCCAGTCCCCCTACTCCACTTCAAATTATTTATCCACAGTGCAACAGCTTCGGGGCTTGAACTAGGGCTTGCCCGCATCCCAGGTGGGTATTCTAACCACAGTGTTAAAAGGTCACTCATAAACTTTACTCTTTATTGTAAATGTAAGGGAGTTGTGACCTTTTTTTACTTCAGCTAAGGACTCACCAATCTGAAAAGGTTAAGAAACACTGACCCAGAGATATCCGTGCACCTCAAAACGGCCAAGCCAGGAACTTTATCTACAGCCATTTATTTGGCCTCCAAGATTGAGATGGCTGAGGACTTGGATCACCTCCTGCCCCCCAAAAAGCTATGCCCCATGGTAAAGCTTTTCTAGTCTACCAATACAACCAAGTTATGGATTGCAGCTATGAAGCAGTTGTCCCTTGACACAGATTCTTCATAGTTAAGATTTGTATCATGGACAAGCAAGAACTGTAATTTAA